CACACACACACACACACACACACACCTGAACCGCACGGGTCTTGGACCCCTTCCCAGGCACACCACATTCAGGACAGGCCGACCCGGCGGACCCGGCGGACCCAGGGAGACCCCAAGCTAAAGTGAGGCTCTAATTAGCCTAGATGATCAGTAGGACAGCCTGTTCTATGCCGGGCGTGGGGGGGTGCTGGGGGTCACTGCCACCCCCAGCATGCGCGCCCTGCCCCGAAACAAGCTGGAGCAGGAGCTAAGTAAGCAGATCCTGTGGCCAGCCCCCCCACACAAGCCTGCTTTGCACCTCCACAACAGCTGGGGGAGGGGGCATACAGATACCTGCGGCACTTAGTCATGGGCTTCCTGGCTTCGCGGCTTCTGAAGCTCTGGGCCGATCCCCGGGTCTGTGGGTCCTGGGCAGGGTGGGGCTGACTGCTGACTGCCTTGAGCCCCCAGGCTGCCCAGCCATTGCCTGTAGCGAGGCCCTGGGCGGCTGAGATACAATGCAGCGGTTTGGACTGACGGGCGCTGCAGTTTACGGGGGAAGCTGATCGCCAACAACACCTCCCCCCCTCGACCTCCTGCCTCACTCCGTTCACTCCCCCCCCGCCTCCCTTTCTCTCTCTCTCTCCCTCTTTCTGTCCCCTTCCCACCCTGCCTGAGGAATTGCGGCTGACTGTTCTGTCCCGTCGTGGGTGGGTTGATGTCAGGGTCTCATTATGTTTAAACGCCTTTGTCTTCTCATACTGTTCACTCTTCCCATCTCTCACCCCCCCACCTTTCCCATAATTCCCCACTTTAATGCCCCACCGCTTTAATGCCCACTTTTGTTCCTCTCCCATCCCTCCCAACTCCCGCCTCCCTGTCTACTTCTTGACCCATCATTTGCCTCCCACGGCTTCCCGCTGCCCTCCGCCGTTACTTGCCCCCCCCCTTGCTACCCTCTCACCACCCCAAACTCTCCGTTTTGTCTTCACAGTCACTGTATCCATCAGATTCTAGACAGTGTCAGTTACATTCACCAACATGACATAGTTCACAGAGACCTAAAGGTCAGTATGTGTAGTGTGGATGCTCTCAGCCTGGTGCCCCCCCCCACTTCCGCCTGTGTCCGCCCTGTCCGTTCGTGCTCGTCCCAGCCTGTCCGTCTGCCTGTCAGTGCCTGTCTCTGCATCTGTCTGTCGTCTGTCTGTGGCACCTCGAGCAGCCCCTGCTGGACTGACCGCCCCCCCCATAATGTATTACTGACCTCTGCCCCCCCCCTGCTCGCCTGTTACCCTGGTAGCAGATAACAGCTCTTATTGTTTGCTCTGCCTTTGGCTTTTATATTTAAATACACCTTGTGCAGTGTTTCCCTTTAAGAGGCTGTAAGAATCTCCTCCTTTTTCACCCTCGGCCCCCTGGGAGACGATTAATTATCGCCGGCACTTGGCATATGTGTAGCTGAATGTTTATGTACATTGGGGATATGAGGATGACTGACTGCAGCCCCTGGGAGGCCTCTGTTGAGCTGTGCTATCGGGGGGGGGGGTGTTGGCATGAGGAGGTGGTACGCCGCCCGCCTGCATCACGAGTTCTGCCACACGCGGGGTTTAGTAGCGGCCCCTCCCCACAGATTCGCCACGCAGGCATCACGTGCAGAGATGTTATTCTTCACAGGTTTAACCACATGGTCACAGGGCCACCGTCACACCTGTGTGCTAATGGCCCTGGCTAAATAAAGACAACTACTCTCAGTCCATCCCGGCTCCGCCCAGCCCAGTCCGGCACAACCTGGCCCAGCCCTGCCCAGTCCAGTCTTTCCCAGCCCATCTCAGTCCCAGTGTGGCCTAGCCCAGCCCAATCTAGCCCAGCCCTTTTCAGCTCCACCCATCCCAACCCCACCCAGCCTATCCTGGCTCCACCCAGCCCATCCCAGCCCAGCGCAGTCTGGCACAGCCCATCTCGGCTCCACCCAATCCATTTTGGCCAATCGCTTCTTTGCTCCACCCAACCCAGTCTGGCCCATCTCATCCTGGCCACGCCCAGCCCAGTCTTTCCCAGCCCATCTCAGTCCCCTCCGGCCCAATCTAGCCCAGCCCTTTTCAGCTCCACCCATCCCGACCCCACCCAGTCCATCCCGGCCCCGCCCAGCCCAGCCCCACCCAGTCTATTCTGGCTCCGCCCAGCCCATCCCGGCCCAGTCTGGCTGCCCCTGCCCTGCAGAGTCCTGGCTTGTGATGTACTTCTGTCAGTTTCTCACAGAGCACAAACATGCTGTGTGTGTATAAAGCAGACCCCCACCGTTCGTCTCCATCTCCGTCTCTCTGAGGGAAATGTCTGTGATTCACGCGGGTAAATATTATGGGCTGCCGGTAGTCATTACATCCTCCGCGTGGCAGGAGTTTGATCCTGGCTGAGAGCTTTGCTGTGCTGCACATGCAGCTGTGTGTCTGTATTCCTGATGTCATCATCGTTAGCTGTCACTCCCTCACTCGTGCAGCTCAGTCGTTTCGGGTTACGCTGTTTTATGCCGGTGACTCGACACCCTCACTGGCCCCTCCCTCTAGGTGCCTGGACACCTGCTGGGCCAGCTATACATCCTTCACTTATACCTGTCGCCACGCCAACAAGGGCAAGCCTATGTTTCCTCGCTTCATAACATGCTTGCCCAACAGCCCCTGCCCCCCTCCCTGCCCCCCTCCCCGCCAAATACATTGTCGTCTGCGTGGCTCTGACCGATTGAACATCACAATCGTGGCACTGCTGTGATGTTTCCCCATTAGAAGCAGTACTGATCCATGAAATGATGCTGATTGGACGTGACACTCCTGTTGCCCCCGCCTTCCCCATGCTAAGCCCCTCCTTTGATGGGCACAAACTGGCCCCGTTTCACGGTACAGCGCTCAGCTGGGGGATGGGTCAGCGTAGGCGCGCCGGCCCAGAGCCGGCCGCTCGGGAGTCCACTGGCATGATATCGATGAGGTTTGTCGTAGGCGGGTTGGGTTCGGAGCCCTTTTGTACCCCGTAGTGGAAGGAGCGGATGCTCTCTGCCTGCACATCTCCCTCCACAACACGCTTGCACACTCCTTCCACTATCTACTTCAATCTGATTGGCTGTAACCACCCTGGTGGTATGGGGAGAGTCCCGAACAGGAGCGTGCTGTTTTTACAGACTCACTACGCTCGCCTCACTCTTTCACTGTTCAGTGTGACGCTGAAGCCCTTGTGAAGTCCCTGTCTTGCTTGTGTTTCCCCCGGGTGCATTTCTGCAATTGCAGTTGTGCAACAGGATACATAAGGAAGGTCTCTCTAGCGCCGCCCTTTTGGCAGCTCACTACAGTCATGCAAAAGTAATCATTCCCTTGTTAAGGTGCTATAGGGAGCTACAGTTTTGAGGTGCTGGCACACAGATCTCTGTCGCTGGTATTTGTGACTTGTGGGTGCGTGTGTCTGTCTGTCTGAATGGACTTACCTGGGGAGATGCAGGAGTATGTGTTCAGCTGCCCCTCTCACCCCTCTCTGGCCTGTGCACGAGACTGTAGCGCTGCTCTGACTAACACGCCCCCTGGTGTTTGCATGCAGTCATTGCATCCAGCAGATCCTGGAGGCGGTGCTTCACTGCCATCAAATGGGCGTGGTGCACCGAGACCTAAAGGTGAGTGGCAGGCCTGGTGATATCACTGTCCTTGGAACTGTGCGTGTGTGTGCGTGTGTGCGTGTGCGTGTAATCGTCATATTAATGTTTGGTAAAGTGAGCCGTGGCCGCAGTAATGCGACGAGCTTGTGGCCTGCTGTGCTGCCTTGTGTCATGCATGCACCGTGTGAATACATGTCTTTGTTCTGCATGCGTCAGTGCTCCACCGTTTGGTCTCAGCCTTGCGGTCTGGTCGGACCCTCTTGTGTAAAGACGTAATTTGAAGCGTGATGCTGTGATGGAGGACAGCAAATCTCTGTGTGAATACGTGTGTGTAAGTGTACGTAATTTGAGCAGTGTGGCTGACCAGTGTCTCCAAAAGCCTGGTCCTCACGGCAGGACCTCAGACCCCTGGTCTGCATGGAGTGTGCGGTGTTTCAGGGTGCTCCATTCTGTGCTCAGTCACCCAGCACTTTGCCCCTCCACGAAGGACATGCCTCACCTCTGGAGTAATCATGGACGTCTTGGGGATGCTTCTGAAATGACTGCAAGATTATAGATGAAGAATGTCGTCCTTGAGGTGTTGCGTGACCCACAATCACTCTGCAAAAGGCCACCCAGAGAAGGGTGCTAGAGAGGCGGCTGGAGGCTTGATGTGCTGCTGGTTTCTGCTGTTCAGGCCCGATGCCACGTCGTCACTCCGGGCTTCACCTCCTGTTTCCCTTCCTGCTGAGTGAGCAGCAGACTGCCGCCACCCCTTAAAATACGGAGAGGCCTGTCGGGGGGGTTCTAGCTCAGAGGTACACTTTGCAATTAACAGATGTCTTCTGTTCGAATATCAGGCCAAGCCTCTTTTTATGGCCATTATTCCACGACGGCCAAAACTAAGAAGTGGCATTCAAGGTCTGAAGAATTTAATCAGCCTGCAGGGTGGCCGTGTCACTGGGCGACACGAGAGGTCGGTCACCGTCACACCGCTAGCGTTTTCCTGCCCCAGAGAGAGTGGATCTGGTCCTGTGGAGGAGCTGGTATCAGAACAGTTATGAACCAGGTATTTCAAATGTTTTAAAGCAAACTCACATTGATGGGCTGTCCTGCCCAAGCAAGCAGAGCGCTGAATGTCCCAGAGGAATCTCATGCGAGCTTCTGCAAGGTGGTCCACATCGACCCCACCACAACTGTGACAGAGGGTGTGATTTTAGCTGGTTAAACTTCAAGGAGGTTCAGGAAACAGACTGCGAGCGTCGCATCTATGGACACCTCCTCCCCCCACAGGTACGCTGAAAGGGGGTGGAGCTGGGGTGGAGGTTTGGGGTGCTCACGGGCCGCAAGGCCGGCGTGATTCATCGGGCCCGGCAGGCAGGGTGGAACAAGATGGGCTCCGCTAACCTCTGTTCTGCCATCTCCGTGGGAAAAGCACGAAGCATCTTCCCGGCACGATTTCACAGCGCAAGTCCAGCAGCGTCGATCTGCAGCCTGTGGAAATGCCATGAGGCGCTGAATCATCTCTGTGAGCCCATTTCCTGCCGGTTCGCACCAGCCGTCTGCTCGTAGGTCATTTGCCCAGCAGGTGGCAGCCATACCAGCTCCACAGGGATGGAGACCAGCACACGTTCTGTCAGATCTATGTGCTCCGCTCCGTGGGCAGTGCTGGTCAGCTGGTGGCAGGTGTGACAGCAGAGCATGATGTGAGAGAGAGGAGCCCCAGGCTTTACAGAACGGCGACGGCTGGTGTTGTCTGGCTCGGCGAAGATCCTGTGCAGAGCCTCAATATTGGACTACAGGGCAAGCCTTCCATGTGGCCGGTGTACTGGGAGGGCGGTGCGTGTGGGTGTGTGTGTGTGTGTGTGTGTGGGTGGCAGCGTGTGCCTTCACGTGCCTGGCTTGGCTGTGGGGTGTCTGACATCTCATGCCCCCCCACTTCTCTTCCTCAGCCGGAAAACCTGCTTCTGGCAAGCAAGTGCAAGAATGCTGCCGTGAAGCTGGCCGACTTCGGACTGGCCATCGAGGTGCAGGGGGACCAGCAGGCCTGGTTTGGTAGGTGGCAGGCCGACCCCCTCCCTTCCCCTCGCTATAGGGGCCTGCCAACCAGTGGGGGAGCAACTGGCTTCCCCGGGGTGGATCTCCAAGCTGGTGTCATTTCCAGCACGTAATTTTTCTCCAGGTCATTGCCAGTTGGGGGTCACTCGGATGATGATAATTATCTTCATGATCCTTCATGGTGGGAGTGGAATTTACTTCTCCAAAATGAAATGCACTTGATCCCTCGGATTCATACTGCCAGTATAAAACAGTTTTAGGAATCTTAAGGGTATTTTTTGTTGAAAATACATATTATTGCTCAGGTCATCATTTCCTTTGGAAATTTTATACATATGCTTAAGTTGTGTTGTAACTTTAACAAGGTTCTCCAGTCAGCTCCCGGTGCATGATGGGATGCCTGTATGTGTCCCCTTTGTGGCAGGCTTTGCTGGAACGCCGGGGTACCTGTCCCCTGAGGTGCTGAGGAAGGAGGCCTACGGCAAGCCTGTGGACATCTGGGCATGTGGTGAGGGGTGGCGGGGAAACGTGCTCGCGTGCGTTCACACTCGGGTGCCCCACGCTCACACTCGGGTGCCCCACGCTCACACTCGGGTGCCCCACGCTCACACTCGGGTGCCCCACGCTCACACTCGGGTGCCCCACGCTCACGCTCGGGTGCCCCACGCTCACACTCGGGTGCCCCACGCTCACACTCTGGTGCCCCACGCTCACACACTCGCACGCAGACACCTGCCACATTGCCGCTCTCCCCCACTTGCTAGTTCAGGGCCTCAGAGCGCCGGCCGCGCCGAGCATTAACCGCACCCCGTGCTAACTGCACGAAGCACCGGCTACCCCACGGGCCGCCCCCTCCGCCGCACCATCTCCCCCGTGGCCGTTTGCCGTCAGTAGCGGGTCACGTGACAGGCTTTTATCGAGTCCCATCTGGAGCCCGGGGTCTGGGAACAGGCCCTAGGTGTAATGACGTAGCAGATGATCGCACCGTGTCCATTCCCATCTGTCCGTGTGCCCAGGTGTGATCCTGTACATCCTGCTGGTGGGGTATCCTCCATTCTGGGATGAGGACCAGCACAAGCTGTACCAGCAGATCAAAGCGGGAGCTTATGACGTGAGTGTGACCTGGGCGGCCGGCCGTCCTCTCCTTCTCCATCTTCTCCCCTTCTTCTGCATCTTCCCTTTATGTTACAGACCATTTCTGTAACCATCTCCCGGTAGTTGTCATACGAGGCATCCGCCTGATTCCGGTCTCTGTCCTGATAGACATGCCTCGGCATCTCCATGGAGACATTGACCCCCCCCCCTCCGTCTCTCGTCCCTTCCCCACAGTTCCCCTCTCCAGAGTGGGACACGGTCACACCTGAGGCGAAGAACCTGATCAACCAGATGCTGACCATCAACCCGGCCAAGAGGATCACTGCCCAGGAGGCTCTGAAGCACCCCTGGGTCTGCGTGAGTGTCCTGCAGATGGGCCCCTCGCTCACATGGACGTGTCCTCGCCCCCCCACGCCTCTCACGCACACGTATGTGTCTCTCTCCCTGGGTCACAGCAACGCTCTACAGTGGCTTCGATGATGCACAGACAAGAGACTGTGGAGTGCCTTAAGAAGTTCAACGCCAGGAGGAAGCTCAAGGTGAGTCAGAGCTCTCTGATCCTACACTATGTGCTACTCTATGACCTCTGAAGGCCGTCTCTGGACAATCACTCCGCCATTTGCAAGGGTGACATCCATCCCTCTTCTGTCCACAGGGAGCCATCCTCACCACCATGCTGGTCTCGCGAAACTTCTCTGGTAAGTTGAAGAGGCGTAGGAGACAGCAGGAGTGGCTCTACAAGGGGCAGTGTCGGGTGTGGGGGGGGGTGACCCCCTGACTTGGCAGAGGCGGGGACGGTCACTGCGTTGGAGGGGCATTGTGGCATGGCTCCTGGTCCCTGAGACAGACGATCACCGGGAATTTAATGACCTTCCTCCTTGAAGCACAGCAGCCAGGCTGATGATAGACGCCTTTATGAGGTGTGTGTGTGCGTGTGCGTGTGCGTGTGCGTGTGCGTGTGCGTGTGTGTGTGCGTGTGTGTGTGTGAGAGACTGCAGGACCGCGTGATGATGTCACCGGTGGGGGAATCTCTTATAGGCTGGTGTGCAGCGGTAGCGGGGCACATCAGGAGAGCCCCGCCCTCTCCCCCCCCCACCCCCATCGCGTCATCTTTCTCATATCTCTTCTTAATTAGCTGCTGTCTGCGTGCCTTGCCCTGCCTTCCTGCGACGACGGTCTCTGCCATCCTCTCTCTCGGTGTGGGGGGGGGGGCAGCCCGGCCCTCGTACTGTGCTGCAATGTCAGGCATGGCCCTACCTTTGAGGGTTTGGGGTATGGGGGGGGTATTCCGCTTAAACCGGCCGTTTCTGTTTCTGCAGCAGCTGAGAGACTCACTTTGGGCACCTTCCTCCCTCCCCAGCCTGGTCCGCCACCCCCCTCCTGACTAATGCTTGGTTCTTCTCTCTCTCTCTCTTTTTGTTTTTCTCTTTCACGTTTTCTGTCATTCGTTTTGGACACTCAGTGGGCCGCCAGACCACGGCCCCCGCCACCATGACCGCGGCCGCCGCAGCCGGCACGACCGCGGGGCTGGTGGAGCAAGGTAGCCCCTCCCCCACTCGCGCCCCGCCTGTCCTCCGCATGGAGCATGAGGCATGGAGCGCAGCACACACCCCCCTTCTTTCCCTTGTAGCTCTGCGGCCGGGGGGAGAGCCTGGACCTCATGGCCCTGTGGAGCAGCACCTCCTTACCTGCGGCTCCTCTGACTAACAGCTCTGTCCTGTTCTCCTCACAGCACGGCCCCGGGGCCCGCATGACCGGGCCCTCTGGTCCCCCTCCATGTTATGCTGTCTGCCCAGCTCCGCTTAGATGAAAATAACCTGTGTGCGTGCGCCTGCCGCCCCCCCCGCCTCGTGCCCCGCTCTCGCTGTCCTCCTCTCTGGCGCCCCGTGGCTCTCCTCCTTTGCTTCCCCAAGCACCGGCTTGGGCTGCCTGTTCTTGAGGCTGGTCTCTGTCCTCCTGTGCATCTCCCTCCGTGGGTGTGGAGCGCCCCTCTGTGGTCCTGCTGGTTGTCGCTTGGGGCCGTGGTGGCGGCCAGGGCTGCTGCATGCGGTGTGCCTTGCGGGGGGGGTTGTGGGGGGGCTCCGGCGTGCTGCATGTCAAGAGCTTTGTGTCGGGCTAGTCCCTCCATCGGGTCAGTCGCCCTGTCTGCTGCAGCGTCCTGTGCGGTAACACCTGAGTTTGCGCTGTGACACCGTGATCCGACATCACCGAGCGGCCTGACGTTCACGTCCGGGAAGGTGACGGGATTGCCGGCCAGGGAGCCACTTTAACGCGCCGATGACGCGCGGGGTCGAGTGACATCAACGAGGCCTGGATGGTTCACTAAGCCGTCCCCGCATTGCCGCGTTCCCAGTCCGCTGCTTGCTCCAAGGTGTCACTTTGCATCCCCAGACCCTGACCAATGCCCGCCTTTCTCTCCCCTCCCGTGGCGTTGCCCTTTGTAGGCCCTGTCACTTGGGTAAGGTTTGCTCACGCCGGGGGCGCTGTCAGTGGAAGCCTACGCTGGTGTCACACCTGCACAGATGCCAGCTTCATCGTCTTGGGTTTCTGTGTGAGCAAGAGGATGCCCGTCAGAAATGTCTTCGTTAGATGCAGTATTGTGGAAATTAATATGCTTCCTGTCTGAGTTTCAGCATATTTGCATGGTCAAATCCACATTGAGCTCTGAATTCCCAGTGACTTTTGAAAAAGATGTTGATGTCTGTCAAACTGGATAGAAGTGAGTTCAAAGGCAGGTATGTAGTTCTGAGGTTGCAGTAAAACAACAACTGAAGTCTAATTGGAGATAGTTTGAAAATGTACTCAGTCTTTTCAAGACTGGCCATCTTGTGAGAACCAGTGTAAAATTGCCAACAGCCAACAACAGTCAGGCATCTGCAAAGGCTGCTGGTCTTCCATCAGTAGGACCCATGATGGAAATCAGTGACGTACCAAAGCAGAAACCAAGTGGTACTTCTTGGCTGATATGGGCCAGTTAAGTCTGGTGAAAACCACTGGATCTCTCACCACATCAGGGGATGGTGCTGATGGTGAGGCTGCTTTGGTTTGAGGGACCTGGACCATTTCCCATCATTAAAGGAACTGTGAATTCCTTACATACACGAGAATGTCAGATCATATTTTTATGAGAACTGCACCTGGGTCATACTCCGTGGCGACGCTCTGTAGCATGTCTGCATCTAAATCGCTGGGGATCAGCAAAATTAACATTTCAGACTGATCTAGTGAAAGCTAAACCCCACTGAGGTGTTGGGGGAAGCAGTTCATGCCCAGAATGTTTGAGATGAAACAGTTGTGCATAGAGGAGAGGGCCGGAGATCCGCCCGCGCTCTGCAGGACAGCGATCGATACCCGCGGGAGGAATCTGCTCGCTGTCCGTGCGGCGGCCGCCGCTGAAGCAGCCACAATCAGCTATTGAGTGTAAGGGGGTGGCTTCATAAATTATGTGACCTACCTTTATAAGCCCAGGTTCCCTTTTTCATCCAGGTTTGGTAGAATATCTGATACCAAATACACGCAAATATGCTGAAAATCAGACAGTTTCTTATTTTCTGATCTTTATTTTATTCACATGTAATAAAAACGTTACACTCTTATGGGGTAGAGCAGTACTATTTGTGTCACGCGGGTGGAAACGCTACATAGTCTGAACGCACTTACCAGTCACGTGCCTGTGCTGATGCTCTGTCTGTTGATGAATGCACCGTTCACCTGCAGTGTGAATATGCTGCATGTATGTTTGAGTGGCTGTAATGCCGGCTAGCGGGAAGGGCTGTAGACTTACGCTGGAGGTGCCGCCTCAGCTCGTACCGTCAGCCGCAGTCATCATGCTGCAGCGTCTCTCGGGGCCAACATTTGATGGTGACCGATTCGTGTCTTTAAATTAAGCTGGATTTGAACGCCCGTATTCTTTTCTCACACATTCCTCTTAATCTTTTTTTTCCGTTTTCTGTCTTCCCTCTTGCTTCTATAATGTGTGCCAAGGTAAGGACTCGCTGTCAGGGGCTGTGCTGCAGACAAACAGCGCCCTCTCTTGGGCACTTGGATAATCGTAGCGCCTTGACTAGTGCCAGCAAAAAAAATAAAAACGCCTCCGTTCCTTGGGGTGCATTAATCGTAAGAGTGAATGTTTATGTGTGTGAAACAGGGTCAGCAGATTATCTGGGGATCCTGGGGTCTAGTCACATCGGCATGACAGTTCATGTGTTTGTTTTCATTTTTTGTGAATCGCTAAGTGCAAGTCATCTCTAACGTGTATTTTATGCATTGCATAAGAAGCTGGACAAATGAAATCTGTTTAGATCTTACTAGAAGAGCCGCTCAGAGCTGGACATCCTGTGTTGCTCACGGCCGCTCCGATATCCTGCGGCGTGGTGCGGGGGTCCATAGGAGCGAGGCCCTATAGTCTGTCTGTCTTGTGCCATATCCCCGTCCAACCCCCAGCCCCGCACATGTCCAGCCAATCAGACTGCCCTGTTCCAGGAGTCTTTGTGGCAATGGGTGATGCTCTTTGGTTCCCCTCGTTTTCCCACCTCTGCAGTGCCCAGCGATCCTGGTCTTGTGTGCCCATATCTCTTAATGTTTGCATGTGTTTTAGCCCTTGATAAATGTGTGTGTGCGTGTTAGTGTCTTTGCAATGAGCTGCGAGGTAGTATGAGGGGTTCCTGAAACAGCGCGCAACCTGTCTTGACAGTGTATATTTGACTGCCGCTGTGCGTGTCTTATTACATATCTGTTTGATAAAGAATTTGTGTATGAGAAGTTGTCAGTATGTTTGTAACGGATCAGTTGCATGGGAGATTTTTTGTTTGGTTTTGTTTGCTTGAAAATGTGCCAGATAGTTTTTGTTTGTATGTGTGAGAGACGGTTTGTGCAAGACCAGGTGTGTGTTAGAGAATGAATGTAGTGTCTGTGTGTGCATGAGGGAGTGCGGGAGTGTGTGTGCATGAGGGAGTGCGGGAGTGTGTGTGCATGAGGGAGTGTGTGTGCATGAGGGAGTGTGTGTGCATGAGGGAGTG